TTTTTAATAAATCGGCATATCTCACATGAGCCCCGGGCTCCCGTCCAATAAAATGGTGTGAATCGTATAGTCCCTGACTACCAAAAACACACGTGTGGCTGGATTGTACGTCTACTCCCCAGATGATCCCTGATCACGTCCACACAATAAAGGCTCATTAGACCCATGGCCATAACAAAAGGGTAGTGCACTCTCAAATAGGTAGGTCCCTGACCATACCCAAAAGTCATCATAGGGCCAGTCCCTGACTACCCCTCCGACTAATCCAAACTCATTCATTAATTAATAATTATAGTGTATTATGAAAGGTATTATTAATTAATAATTCAGATTAATAATTAATACACCCAAATACCATTTCAAATAAAAAAACAGAACCTTAAAGACCCAACTAGTGAGAGTACAAAATTCCTAGACATAGCCTAACATTAGATATAATACCCCGCAAAAATTTAGAATCTAACTCTTAATAATTTTTCTGTACTCTCCCTTTTGGTGCTGAAAAAATAATACTTTTTCATATTTAAATTTTGTAAAACTAACGAATAGTCAATTAAAAATCTAGATTTCAGCACAAATAAGATCATTATACCTAAAACTAATATTCTGGAATTTAACACAATTTTTGAAATAACAGTACTATTTTCCATAATTTTCTAATGTAAAACTAATTAAAAAAATAATAATAATAGTTAAATGCATTATTTCAATTCAATACAACAACATACTGTTCCACACCCACTGTCGCCGAGAATGGTTGAATCATAAAAGACACCAAAGTGGGTCTTCTTGCCCACAATCATATCTGTATCATTTTTCTCAACTATCTAGTCTGTTTTAGTTAATTCCCAACATTCACTATATATTATAGTGTCATAGGACTTTGTTTTGAAATATTACAGTGAATCTAAAACTTAAACTATACATTAATTTATGTGTCACGCCTCAAAATCCTAAATACATGAACTCTTGTCTCGTATGAAGATTTGGCATGACTTTCTTTACACAACCACAACCTTACAATAAAAATAATTAAATAAAGAAGTAGATGTAAACCACCCTCTAATTTATTAAATCGATACAACCATAATATCAAACAACCTTGTCAAAAATAATCCATGATAATTGAACAAAATGAACTAACTCTCAAAAAAAATATCGTCATTCTTATTACAATGCGAAAATTGAACTAAACCAAAGAATACGACAAACAAGCCAAAATCCATCACCATCATGTAATCCCATCACGTTCCTACTCAACGTATACCTGAAATGTGATAATGGGGTGAGCTCACAAGCTCAGCAATAAATGCTAAACACAATCATCGTTCAGCAAATTAACCTTACCTTGTATTCCTGTATATATAAGCAACTCAAATAAGTTCATTATTCAAATGTGTATAACCCAGTTAATTATAAACTTAATAAATAACCATCTTTTATTTTTAATAAATCGGCATATCTCACATGAGCCCCGGGCTCCCGTCCAATAAAATGGTATGAATCGTATAGTCCCTGACTACCAAAAACACACGTGTGGCTGGATTGTACGTCTACTCCCCAGATGATCCCTGATCACGTCCACACAATAAGGGCTCATTAGACCCATGGCCAAAACAAAAGGGTAGTGCACTCTCAAATAGGTAGGTCCCTGACCATACCCAAAAGTCATCATAGGGCCAGTCCCTGACTACCCCTCCGACTAATCCAAACCCATCCATTAATTAATAATTATAGTGAATTATGAAAGGTATTATTAATTAATAATTCAGATTAATAATTAATACACCCAAATACCATTTCAAATAAAAAAACAGAAACTTAAAGACCCAACTAGTGAGAGTACAATATTCCTAGACATAGCCTAACATTAGATATAATACCCCGCCAAAATTTAGAATCTAACTCTTAATAATTTTTCTGTACTCTCCCTTTTGGTGTTGAAAAAATAATACTTTTTCATGTTTAAATTTCGTAAAACTAATAAATAGTCAATTAAAAATCTAGATTTCAGCACAAATAAGATCATTATACCTAAAACTAATATTCTGGAATTTAACACAATTTTTAAAATAACAATACTATTTTCCATAATTTTCTAATGTAAAACTAATTAAAAAAATAATAATAATAGTTAAATGCATTATTTCAATTCAATACAACAACACACTGTTCCACACCCACTGTCGCCGAGAATGGTTGAATCATAAAAGACACCAAAGTGGGTCTTCTTGCCCACAATCATATCTGTATCATTTTTCTCAACTATCTAGTCTGTTTTAGTTGATTCCCAACATTCACTATATATTATAGTGTCATAGGACTTTGTTTTGAAATATTACAGTGAATCTAAAACTTAAACTATACATTAATTTATGTATAAAATATATATATATTCTAACAGCCTCTAATTCTCATTCAAAAAAGAAATATAATCACACCAAATCAGATTCTTATATATTCATTTATATATATATATATATATATATATATATATATATATATATCCGTACACATGCATTATTTCCACCAAGATGATTTCACATTCAATCATACACAAATAACTAATAGGAAACGATTACTTTAATATTATAAATGTTTAATTCCATACAATTTATTATTCATAATGCTGCCATCCTAAACTAACATGACCTTGATATACTGTAACCCATTAACACTTGCTATAATGATTTATAAGTAATACACATAGATCAAGTCACAAATATATATAAGTGTACAAAGCAAGATTAACTTGTTTGGGATAATAATTAATTCTTCCTTCCTACGCGAATTCCAGATTATCGTTCCTTCCCTCGGCTACTGCAGAAAGACACGACGTCAGATCACTCTCTCTAGGTCTCCGTCCTATCGCGCTGTATCGTGCTAATATTATTATTATTTTTTTAAAATAAATCCTCATAGAACTGATACAACGTGAAAATATAAAGGATAAATATAACTGCATTTGAGATAACCTAGGACTCTTATTTAAAGTTTTAAATTTTAAAAGAAAAACTCTATTATCTCTACTATCACATTAAAATACTAAATACTAAATAATAAAAATAATGTACGAAATTTTAGGGTTTTACATTCTACCCACCTAAAAAGAAATTTCGTCCTCGAAATTTGCATACCTTATTCGAAGAGTTGTGGGTACTTTTCCTTCATTTCTGACTCTAGCTCCCAAGTAGCCTCTCTCTCGTCCTGATGATTCCACTGCACCTTCACCAAAGGTATCTCTGCCCGCCTCAACTGTTTCACCATACTGTCAACAATGCAAACAGGCGTCTCAACATAGGTTGCATTAGGACGAATCTGGACCTCTGTGCAGTCAATGGCCTGAGTTTCATCCCTCAAGCACCTCCTCAACATAGAGACATGGAAAACATCGTGAACAGCTGATAGTCTAGGTGGTAGAGCCAATCTATACGCCACCTTCCCAATCCTCTTTGTGATCTCAAAAGGTCCGATGAATCGAGGAGCTAACTTCCCTTTCTTTCTACCAAATCTCATAACCCCCTTCATTGGTGATACTTTCAAGAACACCAAGTCACCCACACTAAACTCCAAAGCACGACGGCGTCGATCTGCATAACTCTTCTGTCGACTCTGTGCTGTGCGAAGTCGATCTCGAATGATGGTAACCTTCTCCGTAGTCTCTTGTACCAACTCTGGCCCCAAAAAACTACCATCACCAACCTCAGCCCAACATACAGGTGAACGACAAGGTCTACCATAAAGTGCCTCATATGGTGCCATGCCGATACTAGCCTGATAGCTATTATTATAAGCGAACTCAACCAATGGAATGTGATCCTCCCAACTGCCCCGAAAATCTAGCACACAAGCACGAAGCATATCCTCCAACACCTGAATGACCCTCTCGGACTGGCCATCAGTCTGAGGATGAAAAGCAGTACTCAAACTCAAAGGAGTACCAAAAGCTACTTGGAAACTACTCCAAAATCGAGATGAAAAACGAGGATCACGATCTGAGACAATAGACACCGGCACTCCATGAAGCTTAACTATGTCTCTAATGTAGATCTTACACAATTCCTTTACAGTATCAGTAGCTCGAATGGGTAGAAAATGAGCTGATTTAGTCAATCGGTCCACTATCACCCACACTGTATCATGGTTATGTATCGAACTCGGTAACCCCACAACAAAATCCATCGTCACATGTTCCCATTTCCACTCAGGCACAGGCAAAGGCTGTAATAGTCCTGCTGGTCTCTGGTGCTCAGCTTTCACTCGCTGACAAGTGAGACATCTAGATACAAACTCTGCCACATCACGTTTCATGCCTTCCCACCAGAACTGCCTCTTAAGATCATGATACATCTTAGTGCCACCTGGGTGCACTGTGTACCTAGAGTGATGTGCCTCCTCTAAAATCTCTCTCTTGAGGTCTGCTAAGTCTGGAACACATAGCCTACCTCGAAATCTCATACCACCATCAGCTCCATACGCCCAGTCAACATTACCTTCATCATTAACAGACTCAACTGCTCTGGTCTGTAACCTGTCATCCTGAGTCTGAAAATGAATGATCCGGCTGATCAAAGTAGGTTGTACAGTCAAACTACAAAGAATAGCCCCTGTACTCTGAGAACTCGGCATGATAGAAAACTCTGCCAATGCCTCTAACATCATCCACTCCTGAATCATCATAAAGGCAACTAATCCTCTCGGTTTCTGACTCAAGGCATCTGCTACCACATTCGCCTTTCCAGGATGATACTGAAGAGTCATATCAAAATCCTTCATCTTTTCCATCCACCTCCGTTGCCTCATATTCAACTCCTTCTGAGTGTAGAGGTATTTGAGGCTCTTGTGATCAGAGAATAACTCAAATTCCTCGTCATACAAGTAATGCCTCCACACCTTTAATGCAAGAACCACTGCTGCCAATTCCAGGTCATGTGTAGGGTAATTTTGCTCATGTGGCTTAAGCTGCCTAGAGGCATACGCTACCACCTTATCATCTTGCATCAATACATAGTCAAGACCCTGATGTGATGCATCTGTGTAGATCACAAATCTCTCACCACTAGCAGGAATGGTAAGAACTGGTGCTGATGTCAATCTCGTCTTCAGCTCCTCAAACGCCTGCTCATAGCGGTGGTCCCAACCAAACTTCACATCCTTCCGAGTCAACCGGGTCAAAGGTGCAGCAATCTTGGAGAAACCCTCAATAAAGCGCCTGTAGTATCCTGCCAGTCCTAAGAAGCTACGAATCTTAGTGACAGTAGTAGGCCGTTTCCAACTCATCACAGCCTCCACCTTGGCAGAATCTACTGAAACTCTATCCTTAGAGATCACATGCCCCAAAAACTGAATCTGCTCATGCCAAAAGTCACACTTCTCAAACTTAGCATAGAGCTGATGCTCACGCAAAGTCTGAAGTGTAATGCTCAAGTGTCTCTCATGCTCCTCCTTCGTCTTGGAATATATCAGGATGTCATCAACAAATACTACAACAAACTGATCCAAGTAAGGTCGAAACACTCGGTTCATCAAATCCATAAAAGCTGCCTGAGCGTTAGTCAACCCAAAAGGCATGACTAAAAACTCATAGAGGCCATAACGAGTCCTGAAGGCAGTCTTAGGAATATCCTCCTCCTTAATCCTCAGTTGATGGTATCCAATCCTCAAGTCAATCTTAAAAAACAACTGCGCCCCTCTAAATTGATCAAACAAGTCATTAATGCGTGGCAATGGGTACTTATTCTTAATAGTGACCTTATTTAGCGCACGGTAGTCAACACATAAGCGGAGTGACCCATCTTTCTTCTTGACAAATAAAACAGGTGCTCCCCAAGGTGATGTGCTAGGTCGAATAAACCCCTGATCTTGCAACTCTTGAGTCTGCTTTTTCAACTCACTCAATTCAACTGGCGCCATTCTGTAGGGTGCCCTAAAGATATGTGAAATACCAGGAGTGAGGTCGATGCAGAAATCCACTGCCCTCTTAGGAGGCAAACTCGGAATATCCCGAAACACATCTGCATACTCTGACACTGTAGGCAACTACTCTATAGTCACGCATTGCTCAACCACCTCGATGTGGGCCAGAAATCCCATAGTCATGGTGCCCTCAAACTCCCCACACTTATATCGAGAAGGAAACTATCCCGGAACTGAGAATACAATAATCCTCTCATGGCAGTCCAACTAAGCATGATATCTAGCCAACCAATCCATACCCAGTATAGCATCAAATTCTCTCATACGTAATACTATTAAATCAATAGGATACTCCAACTCCCCAACTGTAACAGGGCAAGCACGACATATTCTATCAAGTGTCGTCGCGCTCCCGAGTGGAGTTGTAATAGATAAGGCATTACTTATATGTCCAGGTTCTAATCCCAGTGTATTCACAAATGATAGTGCAATTAAAGAATATGAAGAACCTGAATCAAATAGTACTCTAGCTATACTGCCATAAATAGTAAGTGTACCTTCCACTGTTGGTGGTGTACGATCCTGTCTCCCATCTGGAACAACTGCATAAACCCTTGCACCTCCTTGTTGCTGTGGTGCCTGACCTTTCTGCTGGTTATTCTTGTGAGGCTTGGGACAATTACGAGCCAAATGTCCTTGCTCACGACAATTGTAGCAATGCCCGCTGAACTGATATGGCTGTGCATCATGAGGTGTGGCTGGTACTAAAGCTGTGGATTGCTCACCTTCACCAACTCTCTGCCGTTTTCCTGCTCGCCAATCTTGTCTACCTCTCTGCCAAGATTGACCCTGCCAGTTTCTCTGAGTCTGCTGCTGCTGACCCCTCTGATTCTGTTGAGAGCTACTCTGATTCTGTTGAGTGCTGCTAGCCCCCTTACCTTTCTGTTCTGCCCTACGCTCCTTCTGTTTCTGAAAGGCAATGTTATTATTCTCCTCTACTGCCATAGCACATTCCACCACTCTAGCATAAGTGTCAAAACGATGACCCACCACAAACTTCTTCACATAAGAGACCAATCCTCGCTCAAACTTTCTAACCTTATGTAACTCATTCGCAACAATGTGAGGAGCGAATCGGGATAGCTCTGTAAACTTCCTCTCATACTCACTAACTGACATCTCATTATTCTGTTCCAGCTGCATGAACTCTGCTGCCTTCTTCTCCTTCACTGATTTTGGAAAGTATTTGTCATTGAACCGAGTTTTAAAATCATCCCAGGTCATAGTTGTAATGTCCACAACCATCCTGGTCTCTGACTGCCACCACTGGCGCGCCTCACCAGATAAAAGAAATGCACCAATCTTCCTTTTCTGCACCTCAGTGCAGTCCATCATCTCAAAATACTTTTCCATATCTTCAATCCACTTCTCAGCATCAAGTGGATCGGTAGCTCTAGCAAATTCAACAGCCCCCAATTTGCGGATATCTCTGATAAATCCAATCATAGGATTTGGCACATGAGGTGCATCCTCTAACTGAACATCGTCATGGTTAACACCACCACGACCGACACCTCCCTGACCTCTGCCTCTAGCAGGTCGTCCTCTGCCTTTTCCAGCTCCTGACATCCTATTTTCAGTAAAGAATGTCAATGATAAGTCTCACAAGTAATTTATACCTAAACTGGAGCATGGTAAGAGAGCAATAATTCGTATAAGTATATGCTCCTATTCTTACTATCACTTTTCTTAGCCAGGTAATTCTTAACCTGGCTCTGATACCATTTGTAACGACCCACTCCACCACATGGTATGATATTGTCCGCTTTGGGCCTGAGCCCGCACGGTTTTGCTCTTGGGCTTTACCCCAAAAGGCCTCATACCAATTGGAGATGATGCACTTACATATAAACACTTCACCTTTCCTCTACCCAGGCGATGTGGGACTTGTGCACCCGTAGCTCGCCAGTGTGGTAGCCTGACAGTGTCTTTTGCACCCGCCCATGGCACACCCACCCACAAGGTCATCACAATGGCGACCAACCAAGTGATGGTGATGGCAAGGATTATGTTATTGGCAACGGTGGCGGTGGCGAGGATTATTATGATATACTCCCTGGTTACAAGGATGCAGGGACTCGGGCGACAATTGCCGCCCTTCAATTTTTTTGTTCACTATTCGGCCCCATTATTATTGTCAGTCTGATATATATACTAGAGAAATATTATCCTTAGTTCCTTACCCCTCTTAAAATTATTTAAAAAATTTAATATTGCCCCACTCCCTTAAGTTTCTGGGTCTGTGTTACATTTATTTTTTAAGATTGACAACTATGTTATGTTATTATTGCTTTGAAATATGAAATTTAAATAACGTGGTTATTCAAAAAAATTTACTTAAATAAACATCATTACTATTCTTGTTTGTTTTCATAAAATACTCTATTTCCTTTTTCTTATTTTTTCGCTTTTCTATAGCCATTTCCTTTTTCTTTTTTTTTTTTCTTTTTTTTTCTCGATAACCATATCATCTTTTTTTCTTTTAATTTTCACACTAAGTATCATGATACTCAAATTTAATAATTTGATTTGTACAAAATCTAGATCAAGAACTGCAATGTTTTATAATTTTTTCATGCTTTTACAATTTTTTTTTTTTACATTTCTCTTCTTATCTTTGTTTTTGAGATTAGATAGGTAATTAGCTTTGATCATTGTAGCAATTAACAAATGCTTATCAAAGTAATCAAAAACACAATCAGAAGTATCTCAATGGTCCTTACAGATATGCAATTTGAAATATAAAACAAATATCCATATAATCATCTACAAAGATACTAAATTAAGATAAATTTAGAAAGAAAAAAAAAGATTTCAACTTTTCAAATAGTTAATTACCTTATATTATAACATAAGTCTCATTATATTTGACACATGGGTAGGCACATAGACTTGGTGAAGTAGTTTCCAAATAGCAGGACTCTTTCAAGAACTCTAAACTTTATCATTTCAAAATTCATTTTTCTTTTCTTTTAGTATTTCTTAAAATACTCTTTTATAAGTGCAGATTTAAATAATTTTCTTCTTTTATTTTATATTTGTCAAACTTTCAAATACAAGACCCTTTTTTACATAAGGTGTGTTTGGGCTAGGGATAGTAAAAGTTGACACAACTAGAACACGACACAAGTTAAATAGGTTTGGGTTGACCTTAAACATGTTCGGGTTATAAACGGGTCAACACAATTTACCCGCTTAATTAAAAGTCGTGTGTCGGTTAAGGGGTTCAACCACGTTTAACTATATATATCTTAAATAAATTTCTATTTAAGTTCTAAAATTACTATATAAATTTGTGTCTCATAATTTAATCTTTTTAAACTAAAATTATTTAGTAATTTGGTTGATTAAAATTTATATATTTTTTAGTATTTATTATTTTATTGAGTATTATTGATAATTTAAATAATATATATATATTTTTTATAAATAGGTCATTAAAATGGTTACACGTGTAACCTATTTAATAAACAGAGTTAGTGTTGAGAGTTCTAACACGATTATTAAACGGGTCGTGTTCAGGTTGAGTTGTTTAGTATGATATCCTTAAGTTGACACGTCACGATTACGACCTGCGAACATGAATTGCCACCCCTAGTTTAGGCCTTTAAACTTTTTGTATCTTCTTCCATTTTTCTTTTCTTTTTTTAAGTCCATGTCCTAAATTTTGAGGCCATTCCAGAATTTCAATATGGAATGGTCTCAAAATTATAATTAAAAAGATATGGACTAACTGCAATTTATACCATTATTCCAAGTTCTTTGATATAGATTATCTATTCTTAATTGTGGTAAACGGAAAAAAAAAAAAAAAAAAAAACCCTGGTGAGAAAAATAAAAATTCGGATCAATCCCTAATTTCTAACCTTAGGTCAATTTACTTTCTCGAAAGGGAAAAAAATTGTCTTCTAACTAATCCTTTTATATTCGAATGGGTCCTTTTATACTTGAATGGGTGAAGAGCCTCAATTCCTCGTGAGGGGATGAATCAAGAGAATTTTGAATCAGACCAAAGATTAGGGCATGGACTAAAAAAAAAAAAAGTTACATACAAGTTTAAAAGGCCCAAACATACCTTATATATAAAGGATTTCACATTAAAAAGTTTGATAAATATAAAGTATGAAAGAAGGAAATTATTCAAATATGCACTTATAAAAGAATAATTTAAGAGATATAAAAATATATACATATATATATATGGAAAAAAAAAATGAGAGAATTTTGAAGAAAAAAGTTAGACTTCGATTGAGGAAAAAATATTTGACTTTTTTTTCTTTAAGGAATTTGAATAGTAAAAGAGAAAATAAAGAAGTTCAGTGATAATTTTAGAAACTAAAAAATTTAGCGTGCTACATATAAAAAATTTCATATATATATATATATATATATATATTTATATATTTATATATTTACACACACCATATATTATAAAGAGTGTGGTTAGGTGGGGGAATTACCTGGCCTACATTGACTCTATCACGAATGATGATTCCTCTCTCAAATTCTGAATTACATATTATATACTCCATTTCGTCTTTGTTCTATATTCGAAAGTTTGTTTTGATGTGTTTGACTGGGTCTGGGGTTTGTCACAAAAAATTTCATTTTTGTATTAGGCTTTGCCATGTTTTATTCTGGCCTTTTTACCTGGGTTTTGGTCTCATCAAACCAGTTGCAACATTTTCTTCTATTAGTATACCATTTGCTTTTCCTTTTTTTTTTTCCCCCAAAACATGAGATTAATGAAATTAAAAATTAAAGGACATAATTAAAAACCTAGATTATGGATATTAATCATAAAATAATTTTGTTGAAAACTATTATGGAGAAAGGTATTATTAATTTGATGTAAGTGGAAAAAATTTGTACCAAATTTGAATCTTAGTGTTGAAAATATTAGCTAACATAAATTTTACAACTAAATTTATAGGATAGGTTGAGTTTCGATTAAAATAAATAAATTAAGCGTGTTATATAGTGAAAATTCTATAATTCTTTCTCGAAAATGAGACCTATTGATGGTTACTTAAATAGTCACCTTATCACTATATTGTTAAATTAAGTTGATAAATACTTTAGATATTTTTATACACACCGTGGCTTTGACAAACCAATCATAATAATTTGTCATGACTTGTCTCGCACTAGTAGACATCGTCTGTTTTGCACTCCTCGTTACTCACGTTTTTGCTCAAAATACATCAAGTCTTTAACAATTTATTCCCCAAGTGATGAGATACACCACAATCGCCCATCTTGAGACCCATCATCCTCTTTCGCCACGTGGCCTTGTGTAGGCCCCTATTTTTTTTGGGTAAGTTTTGGGTGAATTTATTGCTAAATTATTCTTAAAAATTTTGTGGGATTCCGTCCAAAACTATTTTTGCAACCAAACCGACTACTTTGGGTAGATGTAAAGTGCAGAAGATGAGCTTATTATTATACTAGTATCATGTTGTCACCAAATTATAAAAGAATTTACTTTATCGATAAAATGAGTTTAAGGGGTTTCAAAGGACTTACTTTGTCCATAACATGAGATAACAATATATATATATATATATATATATATATATATATATATATATATATTAAACATGTTCGTCAATTGGCAACAACATTTTAGTACTGAAATTCTGAGTGAAATAGCTATTAGAGGCCTGCATGTTTTGGTAGGGGAGATTTTCTATCACACTATGAGATAAAACGACCACCATAATTAGTGTAGCCTCGCAATATAAATGGTTTATATATATATTTGTATATTATGCTGTATATTATGCTCCCTAAAATTATTAATTTCTATCACACTATGAGATAAAACGACCACCATAATTAGTGTGGCCTCGCAATATAAATGGTTTATATATATATTTGTATATTATGCTGTATATTATGCTCCCTAAAATTATTAATTTTCAAAATTCTTTTAAACTTTATGTGTGTGTGTGTATATATATATATATATATATGTATATTACTCTTTAAATTTCTTTAATTACTCACAGATTGGAACACTGGTAATTATTTAACGATTTAATGGAAGGGGGTTCTTATTCACAAAAAAAGAGATCCAAAAAATAGAAATACAAGAGTTTAGATTACACAAGACGAAGCAGAGAGGGAGAGAGTCGGTTCTCCCTTGGAGGGAGCCGGCTCCTTTAGGATTTCTAAACTATTCTCAACATTTCAACATCATATAAACAAAAATGGTCCTCCACACATCAAGCAATAATCAAATTTTAGCCTTTAATATAAAGTGATAAACAATAATACATGACATCACATATATTAAATAATACCTCTATAATTCCAAACCATGGATAAATATACAAAGTCTACCGGGAAATAGAATTTGTCCACTTTAATAATGACATCCTCAAGAATGCCTCGTGGGTGCTTAACCGATCTATCGGCAAGCTGCAAGACCACAGAGGTTGGCTTCAGGGGCCTACAGTGCATTGCAGGCCCCTGCAAATTTTGAATCTTTCTGCCTAGAATTGTGGGTGCCCACAGCTCCTTGCACTTTTGTGTAATTTTCCCCTTATTTATTATGATAATATGAGA